GCAGTGTGCGATGAGCAATGAGCAATGAGCAGTGAGCAGCCCCTCCCGAAACAAAGTGAAGCGCAGGACGGGGTCCGGTGGATGGGAGGCAAGGAAGCGCGGGGGGTTGCCACGTGCGCTACCGCCGCCGCCGCAGGCAGCACCCCTGCGGCGGCGGCAGCGGCAGCAAGCCGTGGACCCAAACGCCGTGCCGCCGCCGCCGCAGGCAGCACCCCTGCGACGGCGGCGGCAGCAAGCCGTGGACCGAAACGCCGTGCCGCCGAGTCCCGTGGCTGTGGCCGTGGGCTTCTGGCAGGAAGCTACGGCCGCAGCTCGGTGGCTCGGGGGCGTCGCAGCGTGCCGCCGCCGCCGCCGCGCTGCCCCCCGGGCACGGCGGCGGCGGCAGCAAGCTTGGGCCCAAACGCCGTGCCGCCGAGTCCCGTGGCTGCGGCCGTAGACTGTGGGCCGGAAACTGCGGCCGCAGCTCGGCGGCACGCGGTTCTGTTCAAGTCGCCAAGCGTGCAGCAGCGCCGAACCACGCTTCCCGGCCTCGGCGCATGCCTTCAGGGGCCCCCTATCGCTGGGCGCACCCCTCCAACACCGAACATGCGCCCGGGGGGGAGGGCGGCCCGGGCTGCCCAGGCCAAAGTGGGCCGCCCTCGAGCAAGAGGCGGCCGGTCTGTGTGCTGAATGAATGAATGAACCCTCCGCCCGGCGGGATGCCGGCTCTTCTGTGTTTCTCTCTTGGTGATCAACACTGCCCACTGGCTGGTAGACGCTGCAGGTTGCGGGCTTCAACATGCGGCGCCATGCATCCACCCACCTTCGCACATCCAGGCAGTCCCCTGCCAGCCAGTGGGCTCGCTGCAATGGTTCACATCATAAATAGTCGATGCACACTTCTGCAATTGAGCCAAGGCGGGCGCGGGCCTGAGCAACGGCCGCAGGGGGGGCATGCACACCGCGTGGCAGGAAGGGCCCCTGGGAATGGAGGGACACACAGGCCCACCTCGCACAGGAATTTATAGCCATAGCCGTCAATGCTGCATTTGTGGCCGTCGCCGAAATCGTCTGTCGCCACCACCGTCTCTCCCTTGTCGCAAGTGTCGTAGCAGCTGGGCGCGGTGCCCCTCCTGCCGCGCGGGGGAGCGCATGGGAAGCAGGCAGGCGCAGCGCTCGGCTGCTGGTGGAACGTGCAAGTTAGGCGAGGCGGCACACAACACGACCACCTCCATGCCGCACCCACTCACCAGGAGTATTGGCACCCGTTGCACTCCTTGCGTCCGCACAGCTTGCACAGCACCTTGCCGCTGCCCACGCAACACTCATCTCCATACCAGACGTAGGGCGAGTCGGAATCAACGTATGGCTGCGGGTAGAGGCCGGGCTTGGCCACAGGGCTCCAGCCCGTGGGGCAGCGCCATTGCATGACGAGGAGCCTCCGCATCCCTGAGCATATGCCATGCCGTCATAGCCAAACCTAGGTGACCAGGCACACAGGGGGAGTGCTCAGTGCATGAGGAAGCGCATGCTGACAGCCCCTCGCGCGGAAAGGCGCTCCCGTGCATGCGCATGTGTAAAATTTGTGTGGAGGTGGTGGTGTGCTGCCCAAGCTGGGCCCCTGCCTGCCACTGAGCGGCGCAGCAAGCCAGCGAGCTCGCTGGCTCGCGCACCATTTCAGCACGCATTGGTCAAGACGGGGCTGGCACATGGTGCAGTACTGGAGGAAATAGATGGTACCATTTGTGTACTGCTTGGTCACGGTGCGGTTCCAGGCCCAGCTGGTGTATTCCGCCCCAATTTTAGGGCAATCGAGCTTGGCTCTGGAGATCTGCAGGAGATGCAGGGAGTGTGTACGTGTGTGGGAGCTTGTGGAAGGGGCAGCTTCGGCAGGCGGCCACTGCGAGCGATGCGAGTGGCGCAGCGGCTCTGCCACTCGCGCATAGAAGGGCTCTGCCACTCTGCCAGTGGCACACCCATTTGGCCGCTGCCGCTTCAGGTCGCCATTATTGCACGCCCCTCCACGTCGCTGCCGGCAGGGTTGCAGCGCAGCAGGTCACGCGTGCACATGCCGAGGGCACACACTGCGGCACCTCACCTGGTAGTCCAGCTTCATCGTCGCCATGTCGTATTTAAGCGGCAGCTCTGTACAGCCGTCTGGTGCGCGGAAGGGGAGGTAGTCGGTTGTGAAGCAGAGGCCCGGCTGCACGGCGCAAGCGCCCAGGCCCAGCAACAGCAGCAGGGCGGTGTGCGGCGGCGGCGCCAGGCGGCGGTGGCGAGGCAGGGACATGGCCCGGGCCGTGTCCGTCTGCGACGCAGGGGTTGGGGTGAGACTCTGTGGCACGAGTTGCGGAATGGTTTGGGGTCTCGGGACTGCGAAACCGGGAGGCGGGTGGGCGCCGACCCTCACAGGGCGGGGTATCAGGGGGCGGCTTCCCCGGCACCTGAGTCGAGCTTCCAGGCGTTGGGAACAAATTCAGCACAGGGGAGGAGGGTGCGATGCCGGACGCAGAGGCTGGCAGAAGGTCGTCTTTGCGCTGGCTGGCAGCAGGATTGTGAAAGGCTGCAGAGATATGTGAGTGGAATGGCCAGCGGTCTTGTTCTTTTGGGGTTCAGTGCCGCGCCCCACGTCCGGCGGCCACATCCACGTAATGGCGGCCGCCTGGTGGCGGCTGATGGCTGTTGGATGGAGTGCACAAGTCCACAATAAAACTGCCCAATAGATACGCCAATGACAAAGATGGAAGGTACGATCCTGGCTCAGCTGCATGGCCTCGGGTCTACGTACAGCGCATTGAGTGACGGCAGCGCCCAGAGTGCCAGCTTGGCGGTGTCGGCAGCACACACCAAACCCTCTCAGAGGGCTTGCCCAGGAGAGAGGAGGCTTCCATCCACCCAGGAGAGAGAAGGCTTCCATTTCAAATGCGACCGAGGCTTGAAAGGGGTTGGTTCAAGTAGAGCCGCCGCGCTGTCGCTGCAGGGTCTCGCACTAGGCGCCTTATGACCTTATAAAAACACCAGCCAGCAGCCGTCGAGCGCCCCGCGATGGCTGCGGCCGCACCCCCGCCACCGCTGCCGCCGCCGCCGCCGCCGTCGCTCACCGCTGAGACGCTGACCAGCCGCCAGCTGGCCGCGGCCGCCGTGGCCTCTGCCGTCGGCGGCGCGTTCTTCCTCGCCCTCTGGGCCTTTGTGCGAGGACCGCTGCGCCACATCTACCAGAAGCGTACGGTGAGCCCATTGTGGTGGGCGGGGCGGGTGGAAGCACACAGCATCAAGCAGCAGCTGCGGCCTCCGCCTCGCCCTGCATCCACCCTGTGCCCTGCCACCAGCCCCGCCCTCTGCCCCTGCCTGCAGCAAATCACCGACCTGCACGCCCGCCCGCCGCCGATGCGCGTGCGCGGACTGCTGCACCGCTGCTTGGGCTTTTTGGCACCCGTCTTCCTGCTGACCGATGCCGAGCTGCTGCAGACCGCTGGCCTGGATGCCCTGGTGAGGCTGGGAGGGGCTTGAAAAGGGCAGAGATAGAGATGGAGAGAGAGAGAGAGAGAGAGAGACAACGTGTGTGTGTGTGCCCCTGGGGGTGGGGTGGCGGTGGGGCAGCAGGCTGGGAGCTCCATGGTTGCCCTGGCCGGGAGCATGCCTGTCCCGACGTGTTTGCCTGCCGGCCCCGCCCGCCCGCAGATGCTGTGCCGCTTCCTGGCGCTGGGCCTCCAAGTGTTCGTGCCCATCTCTGCCCTCTGCTGCGCCGTGTGTGAGTCTGCCACTCCTGCTGCTGTCGCATCCGCTTCTGCTGCTGCCCCTGCCCCGTCCCTGGGGCTTCCCACGGCGGGCCAACCAACCCCTTCCTTCCACCCCCTGGCCCGCCCACCTGCTGCTGCTGCTGCTTGCCCGCAGTGGTACCGCTGACCAGGACCGGTACCGCTGTTGAGGACAGCGCTGAGTATGCCAACACCGCTGAGTTGATGCGGTACACCCTCAGCAACGTGGAGGAGGGCTCTCCCAAGCTGTGGTGCGTGGGATACTTGTCGGACGACCACCTGCAGTGCGTGCGTGTGCGTGCATATGCGTGCATGCGTGTGTGCGCACCACAGACCGACGGTGCCGCCTGTTGGTTGCGCACTCAGGGCTCCCTTTGCGCTGAGCTACGTCGTTCTCGGGTACACCGGCTATGTGCTGCTCATGCACTACAAGTCGTACGCGCTGCTCCGCCTTCTGCACCAGCGCTTAGGCATGCGCGGGGCGGCGGCAGGTGCGCTGGCTGGCCTGGGACACAGGCTCTCGCCGTGCTGGGCAGCGGCAGGCAGGCTTGGGATGTTGGTGGTGGCTACTGGGCATGGCGGCGACACGGCCATTCCTGCCAGCCTCCGCAGGCGGCATGCCTGCTGTGCCTTGTGTGCTGACTCTGATCGATGGGCTTTGGCTGCCACTCTGCAGACGGGCCGCCCAGCATGGCCATTGTCGGGATGGAGCGGCGGGGCTGGAAGCAGGCTGCCAGCCTGCTGCTGACGCTGATCAGCCCGCTCCATGTGAGGCGCCGCCCGTCGCCAGCCCCTGCATCAGGCAGACTGCACTCACTTGTGCATACCGCCAGAAACGGCCAGGAGCTGGTCCTGTTTAAAGCAGGGAGGCCCCCAAGCTGCTGCCTGTGGCTGCCCCGTGGCCGTGCGGCTGGCCTTGCTCGCTCGCTGCCCTGCAGATGCATCACCAGGACGCCAAGCACGTCAGGGAGGTGATGGCAGTGCACGATGCCGCGGAGCTGGCGGCGGCTCGCAGCGCGGCGGCCGACGGCAGCCCGCAGGCCGCGGCGGGCGACATGAACCTGGAGCCGGCACAAACAGCTGCCTTCGGTGGCTCCAGCAGCGACGGCGATGATGGTGGGGAGGAGGCGGAGGACGAGGAGGCTGCAGGGTGCAACACAGGTGCCGGCAGCGCCGGCGCCAGCGTGGATGGCAGCAAGCTGGCCAGGCCCGACAGCGACGGGATGCCGGTGGTGCTGCCCTGGTGGCTGCCACCCGAGCAGGTGCCGGCAGAGGTGTCAGGTGAGGCAGCTGCCTGTGCACACCACATAGGGGCTACGCCTGCCCCCTGCACCACCCAACTTCGTTGTTGGAAGACACTACCTTGCGCCCAGAGGCATCGGCGCAGGCGGCCGTGACGTGCGGATGCTGTGCCCCCCACCCCACCTCCCCACCCACACGCCCATGCCACAGCGGAGCTGGGGACCAGCGGCGTCATCAGCGGCAAGTCCTGCTGCGTGCTGCGGGGGCGCGTGCGGGGCGTCACGCCTGCGGGGCGCACCGTCTGGGCTCAGGCATCCCAGTATGCCGTGCTGTGGACGGTGATCGGGCCGCCGCCGTCGCGGTGAGAGCGGCCTGCAGGCAGCTGCGCCGGCATGCCACGGCTGGGCACGCATGGCGGGGTGCTCAGAGCTGGCGTGCGTGCCGTGCCTACCTCCCCTGCCCTGTCGTGTTCATGCTGTGCTCATGCTGTGGTCGTGCTGGGCGCGTGCCGCAGAGAGCTGCACAGCTTGCTGCGCTCGCGCGGCCCGTCGCCACGCCTGGCGCCGCCCAGCATCCGAGTGGACGGCGGCGGCAGCCAGCAGGCTGAGGCCGACGGCGGCGGCGGCGCCGGCAGCCAGGGCATGAGCAAGGGCGGCAGCCGTGGGGGCAGCAGCGCCAGCCTGGCACCGGGCAACCCTCAGCAGGCAGGCCCGGAGGCTGATGCCATCGCCGGCCACCTGGCTCGCTCCCTGAAGGTGTGTTGGAGGGCCGAGGGGTTGGGAGCCTGCGGGTAGAACCGCTGCTGAGGTGCAACAGCCTGCAAGAGGTGCCACGTGCTGCTGCCACATGCGTGGCACCTTCAGCGCCCCCTGCACGCGAGGCTCTTTGCCCCTGCAGGAGTTCTTCCCTCAGTCATTCAGCCGTCTAGTGCGGGTGCATGACCACCTGGCTGTGGACCGGCTGTTGGCCAAGCATGAGGACGCCGCCACCTGCCGCGATCGAGCTCTGACCGCGGTGGCTGCGGCACGCGCTTCGCTGAGCGCGGCCGAGGCGGCGCCATCTGCGGGGCCGGCGCAGGACGGCGGCGGCAGCGGCAAGGCAGGTGGTGGCGGCAGCGGCAGCGGTGGTGGCAGGAAAGCGGCCAGGGCGGCTGCCAGGCTGGCGCGCGCAGAGGCGGGGCTGGCCAAGTGGCAGGGGCGGGTGGAGGAGCTGGAACAGCAGATTGTGGCGGCCCGGCAGCACGCGCTGGCCAGGCCGTTAGGGACTGCCTTCATTGCGCTCTTCAGGTGGGCTCTGAGGGCGATGCAGGGCTGGCCTGCTGCTGCTGCTGCTGCTTGCTGCTGTTGCTGCTGCTGCTGCTCAGCGTAGGTGGTCTGCGCTTGGCCGGCTGCGCCATCCCGCGGCGTTGGCTGCTGCGCCTGCCGCCGCCGCCAAGCACCCCGCCGTGCCTCCGCTCTGCTTCACGGCGTCAACCCTCGGTGCTGCCGCCGCGGGTGGGCCCTGCAGGACGCAGGCCGCGGCAATGATGGCGGCACGCCTGGAGTCCTCTGTCCTTCCCTCTGGAAACTTCTCGGTGCAGCTGGCGCCCGGGCCCGACAACATCAACTGGCCCGCGCTGTGGACGCCCTGGCTGCAGGTCGGTCGGGACCACCTTCCCGGTAGCTGCCCAGCAGCCGGCTGCCTGCATCTAACATGCCCATTCGACCTGTCGCCGCGCAGCAGCGAATCACGCGGCCGTGCACGGCGGCTCGCAGCGGAGCCCATCTGCATATAGCAGCGGCTGCCTGCCGCGCCGACATCGCACGCCTGCTTGCCCGCCTGCTTGGCACCCCCCGCGCAGCGCGTGTGGCGTGGCCTGGCCGTCATCCCGCTGCTGGCCGTCGTCATGCTGTTCCCCATCGGCACCCTGACCGGGGCGCTGTCCAACCTTAACACCGCTGTGTGTGGCGGCTCGCCTGGTGAGCGACCTTGCGCTGCCGTGCCGGCTGGGCAGCTGTGCCTCGCAGACGGAGCGGCGCACTTGTTGCAGGGCTGAGGGTGGCAGCCAGTGCGCCGCAAGGCGGCAATGCCCTTTTGTGACGTGCCTCGCGGCCGCCCTGTTTGGTACTGCAGAGACCAACAAGCTGTATTGGCCGTGGTACTGCCAGTCCCGCAGCTTCGGGGCGGAGCTCATGAAGGAGCTGCTGCAGGGTGGGATGCCTGGCACCTTGCTGGAATCGGCGGCTGGTTGCAGCTGGGGCAAGGGGGGGGGGAGTTTAGGGGCGGGGGGATGCGTGCAATGGCGCCTGCAGTGCCGCCGGGCGCTGCTTGCGGCACCTGCCCATCGCCGGCAGCGACCCCATGCCAGCTCACCGCACGTGGTGCACCGCCCCTGCTGCCCGCAGGCCTCCTGCCTGCCATTCTTTCCACCTGCTGGGACACATACGTCCTGCCCCTGGCCTTCTACTTCTTGGCTCAGGTGTGCACAGCATGCTGGGGCCCACCAGCCCCTGCTCTCTGCTCTCTGCCCCGGCTCGCGGCACTGGCGCTGGTCGGAACGCGCGTTGGCACCACCGCATGCAGCAGGCTGGGCGGGCAGCGTGGCGCTGCATGTCTGGGGGCACCTCCCGCACACGCGCAGCCCAGCTCCCTGCCCTGCCGTGTACCGCAGTCTGGACAGCGCCACCTGGCGCTGTCCGACCTGGACCGCCGCATCACCGCCCTCTTCTACTGCTTCTCGGGTGGGCACAGCCTGCCCGCTGGTCCCGGCAGGCTCGCCGTGCGGCACCGCGGCGGCCCCCGCCCTGCAGGCTGCCGCGCCGTGCTGCCATGCCACGTGGCCAGCGGATGGCCCCGCCACACTCTCCCCAGAACTCTCCCCCTCCCCGCTCGCGTGCACAACTGACGTTCTTTCTTCCTCTACTTCCTCCTTTCTCCAGTCAGCAACACCTTCCTCATGAGCGTCCTGGGCGGGGCCGTGTTCCAGCAGATCGGCTCCCTGGTCACCAACCCAAGTGGGTGGGGGCGCCTGGCGGGGCCGCATGCTGGGGTGTGGTGGTGGGCAGGCGGGAGAGAGAGAGAGCGCTGCCACCGCTCTGCGCTGCCCCTGGGGCACCGCCGCCCGCAGCTGGCGCTGCCGCCCACGCACGCGCCCGCTTCGCGCTGGCGCAGGCCAACCCAGTCCGCCTCTCTTGCCTGCCCCCTGCACGCTCCACAGCCCGCTGGGTGCATCCCACCGCCCCGCACCCCTCCTCCCCTCCTCACCTGGTGCAACGTCCCCCCCTCTCGTTCCCCTCCCACCTGCAGCCAAGTGGCTGCAGCTGCTGGCCACCGCGCTGCCCTCAGCGTCCATCTGGTTCATGGACTATTTGGTGCGATTAATCATCCCAGCAGCATGCTCCAATCGGGGAAGGCATCGGCATTATATGCAGAGATGGGATGGCCTGCCAACGGCCGGCAGGCCATGCGGCAAATACTCGGCCCGCCTGGGCTGTGGATCTGAGTGCTGACCAATCACGCATCCCTGGGCCCACCCATGCAGGTGGTGCATGCCCTAGCGATCAACGTGTGGCGCTTCGCCTGGTGAGCACGCAAGCGCATGTGCTGCGCTGCTGCGTTCGGCGCGCGGTGTTGCTGTGCGGCAGTGGCGTGCAGGCGGGGCGTGCCGGGGCATGCGCCGGCCATCGATCTGCAGCGCTGTGCGCGTTGGGCTGCGTGTGGTTGTGCGGGTTGGCAATGAATGCGTGTGTACATCGCTGCCGCTGCCGCAGGCGGTGCTGACGTGTCCCCGCCCTCCGCCTCGCCTCCTGCTGCCACACGCTGCTGCCTGCAGGCCCCACGACGGCACCGTGCTCTTTGTGCTGTTCCGCGGCGTCGGCCTCTTCCGTGAGCGCCCTGCCCGCAGCCCCTTGCTGTCTTCCCTCCTGCCCTTCCACCCTTCTGCCTGCCGCCTGCACTGCGCAGTGGCCCGCCGCCGCCGCCGCCGCCGCCGTGCCTGTCGGGTGGCGTCCCAGCCAACCCCAGGGGGAGCACCCTCTGTTGCTGCACCCTCCGCCGCTGCAGGGCCCAACTGCGAGCGCGACCGCTGCATGATCCGGTCCACGCCCTCCCTGCGCTCCGGCCGCCACTACGGCGCCTTCCTGCTCATACAGGTGGGCTGCGGCTGGGGCTGGGGCGGGGAGGTGTGGGGTAGAGCAGTAGCCTCCCACTGCGCCGCGGACCTGCCTTGCCGGCTGCCTTGCCTGCCTCGCCTGCGCCATGCGGCTGCAGACTGCGGTGCTGCCAGGCGCCGGCGCCTGCGCTGAAGCCCCACCTGGCATCCCCTCATCTCCCCTGCCCTGATGCACGCCCGCCGCCGGTCCCCCCATGCCTCTCCCCCGCCCCTCCTCACCAGTCCTTGCCAGATCCTGCCCCCTACAGATCATGGCGCTCTCCTACGCTGTCATCGCGCCTCTGCTGCTCCCGATGGCCGCCTTCTACTTCCTGACGGCCTGGGTGAGGCGCAGGCGCGGCTCTGCGCTGACATGGCTGCCGGCGCCAGCCGGCGCCAGGGTCGGGTACAGGAGCGGTGGCCTCGAGCTGCCTGGTGCTGCACCGATGGACGAGCAGCACTCATGCAGCCCGGCCGTTGGCCAGCCAGGCGCCTGGCCGGACGGCCCCTGCGAAATAACGCCTGTGCCGCGCCTGTACCGCAGGTGACCTGGCGCTACTGTGTCCTGCACTTCTACGAGCGAAGCTACGAGTCAGGGGGCCGCATCTTCGAGATCCTGTTCACCCTGGTGGTACGTCTGTGTTGCCGAGTGTACCGCCACTGGTACTGCCTTCGTGTGCATGTGTACTGCGCCCGTGCAGGCTGCCACAGCCGCTGCCACTCGACCACCACCACCACGCCCGCCGCCGTTCCCTCCCCACCCCGCCGCCTTGCCTCCCCCTCGCGCCTGCCGCGCGTGTGCCGGCTGTGCCTGCGTCCCCATTCCCTCCCTCGTTCGCCCAGCTCAGTGCGGCGCCTGCGCCAGAGGTGCACGGCAGTACCTACCCAGGCCTCAGAGTCGTGCATCTGCTGTACCGCCTCCCCTCCAGGTCTGGACCGGCGTGCTCTTCACCCTCTTCTCCTCCCTGGTGCTGGCCTCCAAGAAGGCCTGGAGCCCCTGCCTGCTCATGCTAGCCACGCAGCTGCCCATGCTGTACGTGTACCACAGGTGCGGGCGGCGGCGGCGGCGGCGGTGGGCGGCTGCTTGGTGTGCGTGGAGGGTTCCATTCCAGGAGTTCCCGTGAATTCCCGGGAGTTCCCGTGAGTGCATTCCCTCCCGGCGGGAATTCCCGAGCTTTCCCGGCAATTCCCGAGCTTTCCCGGCAATTCCCGGGTTTTCCCGAGGCGGGAATTCCCGGGAATTCCTGCCCCGTGAATTCTCAGGAATTCCTCCCATTCCCAGGAATTCCTCCCATTCCCAGGGATTCGTCCCAGCAAGGCTCTCCCATGCCCCCTGCCCTGCCGCGTGCCCGCAGGAAGGTGCAGCTGTCGGTGGGGCACTACGCTCGCGTGGTGCCCATGCAGTCCACGCTGCAGGCGCCAAAGGTGCGCGCGCCCGCCGGATTCCAGGGGGTGAATGTCAGATGCTGGGCTGAGACGGGCGCCGCAGGATGGGCGCACCGCTCCACACCAGCCTGCCTCGGCCACCGTGCGCAGCGCGCAGCAGGTTGTCTGGCGGCGCGCTGTGGCGGCAGGCCCCACCGCCCTCCCCACCTTGCGCCCTGCCGTACCATGCCGATTTAGGGCGGCAAACCAGGGGCAGAGCACTGCCATATGCCCTGCAATGCCGCAGGTGGAAGTCGACCCCGCCACCTACCTGCCGCCGCCGCTGCGCCCCGGAGCAGTGGGCTGGTATCCCGAGTGGGGCAAGGTGGGGCAAGGCGCCCGCCGCCGCCGCCGTGCATCTGCTTTGCCGAGGCGCTCTGCGAGGGCTGCTGCTGCGAGCAGCTGGCGGCAGATGGGGCGCGGGCAGGCCTGCCACGCGGCTGACCCGTGGGCTGCCGCCACTGCCGCCGCCTGCTGCGCCACCAGGTGTGGGAGAAGTACGGCATCAGCCGGCACTCGTGGTAGGAAGCTGGTAGGAAGCCGGCGGCAGGAGCCGGACGTTGACCAAACCTCTGTCGAGCAGGCACGCTCGCTGTGCCTGCAAGCCTTGAGCGGCGCCTGCTGCAAGCGGCAGCCTCTTACATGTCAGCTGGCGGCACACACCCGCTGGCCGTCGGCTGGTCGCTAACACATAATCTGCGCTGTAAACTTGAGAGAAACAATAACTGAGCACTACAATTAGCTATGCAGCCGGCCAGCGATGCGACGCACGTGGCCTGGTGGCTGCAGCCAGGTGCGTTGGGAGAGCGGCACAGGCAGAGCACAGTGGGGCCGCCAGCCAGCCAGGTCGCCCCCCCTCCGCTCCACCAGCCGTCCACGCGAGCTGCCCCCGCTCAGCGGCCAAACACGCTGCCGAAGAACTGGCCCACCGGGTTGCCCTGCTGATGCTGCTGAGGTGGCGGCTGCTGCGCCTGCTGGGGCGGCGGCGGCGGCGGCGCCTGCTGGCCGTACGGCGCACCCTGCTGCTGCTGCTGGGCGTAGCCATCCTGCGCGCCCCACTGCTGCTGCGGCGCGTAGCCCTGCTGTTGGGGCGGGGGCGGGGGCGCCGCAGCGCAAAAGTTGCTGCCGCCGCTGTACGAGTACTGCAGCTGGGGCTGCTGCTGGTGGGGCGGCGGCGGCGCATAGCCCTGGGGGGGGTGGGGCGCGGCGTATGCCTGGCCGTACTGCACGGGAGGGTACTGCTGCTGGTGGTACTGCTGTTGGTACTGCGGCTGTGCATAATACCCGCCCGCCTGCTGCTGCTGCTGCTGTGGCGGCGGGGGAGGCGCCCCGCCGCCGAGCGCGGCGCCATACCCAGAGTGCTGCTGCTGCAGCGGCGGGGCGTGCTGCGGCGGAGCAGCGCCGCCGTAATTCACGCTGCCGGTCGGGGACAGGGTGCCCGAGCCGGCGGGCGACACATAGGCGGGCGGCGGCGGCGGCGGCGGCGGCGCCTGCTGCGCCTGCTGCTGCTGCTGCTGCAGGTTCATGGCGGCCAGCTGGGCCGCGGTACGATCCGCCTCCTCCGCCGCCTGCTTGCGCAGGTCCTCAATCAGATCGTCCCTGCCAGGCGGGCGGGGCAGGCAGGCGGGATGGGGCGCATATCAGGTGAGCAGGCTGGCAGCGAGCGGCTGGACGCGGGTGAGGCCAGCGAGAGCACCAGGGCTGGAGCCTGGCAGCAGCAGCAGCCGGAGGCGGCAGCAGCAGCAACACGGCTGGACGAAAGCACCGACGCTGCGCTGACCAGCTTCCATCCCACCCAGGCGCCTCGCACCTCTGTATGCGGCGCGTCATGCAGTGGTCGCCCGCCTGCTGCCGCAGGCTGCCAATCGCCTCCTGCACGCAGGGGTCGGCGCAGCCAAGAAAGCGCGGGGCCGCCTCAGCTTTCTAGCTTCCACCGCCTGCACTGTCCCAAGCACCGCCAGCGACCGGGCTGCAGCTGCCGCGATCCCTCGAGGCCCCACAACAGAATCCCAACACCACAAGGTCGCGTACGATGTCCCGTCAGGCCCCAACTCGAGGGCCCAGCACCCCGCCAGCCAGGCTGCCGTCCCTCCTGCCCGCCCACCCCGCCAGCCAGGCTGCCTGTCCCCCCTGCCCGGCTACCCACCTGCAGTCCCATGTAGAAGCGCAGCCCCTCCCCCAGGTTGTCCCGCAGCTCCTTGTAGCTCTTGATGCCGGCCTTGATGCCACCCGCGGCGCCCTGCGCACGCGCATGGCGGCGGCGCGGGATGCAGAAGGTCGGCGCGCACCCCGGGGGGCGGTGTGGCGCAGGCACGCCAGCTGGCGCCCCGGCACAGGTCTACCCAATGTTTCGGAGGCATCCCAAGGAGTTAATTGAATGTGCGTAGCTTGCAGGTGCGTCACCGTTTCCCTCTCCCTCTCTCTGTCTCTCTCTCTCACACACACACACACACACACACACATGCGCGCACGCACACACCTCGCAGGCCCTGCGCCACTCCTGGTAGCCGTAGTTGCTCTTGAAGACGGCCACGTTGGCGGCGATGACGTCCAGCAGCTGCGCGCTCTTGCTGGCGTTGTTGTCCACCTGGCGGGCGGTACGGGCGGTACCGGGGAGCGTTTCAGGGCGCGGCATGGCGCAGGACGGTGTGCTGGGCGGGCAGGGCAGCGGGCAGATGGGGAGGCATGGGTGCATGCTGCAGCCTCCTGGTGAAGCGATGGAGTGTGCAGTGTGCGCTTGCAAGCACGGCTGCGGTACATGCGGTACCGGCAGCCCCGTGCCGTACCTCCATCACCAGGTCGTCGTACTTCTTCAGCTCCAGCTGGAACAGGGCATCTGTGGAGGGGAAGGGGAACGGAGCAGGAGAGGCTGTGCATGAGAAAGGCAGGAAGGCTTGAGCCGGCTTGGCGTGGGCGTGCACGGCGGCGCCAAACATTGGGCCACACGGCTCGGCTGCCCGCCCCGTCAGCAGTTGACTCCCATGCCCTCCCCTTCCCCTCTGCAGATGCCCCTGGCAATGGCAGCTGCAGGGAAGCTGCGCCACGCACCTGGCGAGTCGCCGCCGCCGCCCAGCAGCTTGGGCAGCACGTTGTCCTTGTTCTTGCGGTCCTGCGGTACATGCGGTACATGCGGTACATGAACAGGTCAGGGGAGGTGTGGTACAGGCGGCACATGAACAGCTCAGGGGAGGTGCCAGGGGAGGTGCCTTCAGCAGGTGCTGTGCAGGCCAGCCAGGCAACCTGGTGCTCCCTCCCATGCAGCCACAGCCCGGAGCTGTCGGCATGCCCGCTACCACGCTCGCACCGCAGCCACCCACCCACGCCCACCCACGCCCACACACACCTTGAGCGCCTCCTCCAGCGCGGCGCGCTGCCCCGACAGCGTGTTAAGCCCCTCCAGCGCCTGCCGCAGCGTGGCCACCGCTGCCGCCGGCTCCATGTTGTCGACAGACAGCATGGGGGCCTGCAGGCGGGTGGCGAGGGGGCTAGCCGCAATGCGTGGATGCGTGGGTGGGGTACCACCGCGGGTGGAGGCGGGAGCAGGCAGCGCTGCCACTGGCGGTGCAGGCAGCAGCGTCTGCAATGTCCACCCCACGCAGCTTACCAGCCGGCCCCCCGACTTGTTCCGTCATCCCGACCCACCGGCCGGGCCCCACCCACAGCTCGCCCACACCCCGCCCACACCCCGCCAGCAGCCTACCTGCATCTTGGGCATCTGAGTGGCGGCGGCCTCCGGGTCCAGCGCCGCAAACGCCGCCGCCTCCGCAGCCAGCTTGCCCTCCAGCCGCTTGTCGCTCTCGCCGGCCTGCAGACACTCGGGCGGCACAGCAGGAGTCGCATTGCTCAAACGCCGCCGCTCGCCACTCGCCACGTGCCCCTCTGCGGCGCAAGCTCCCGCACAAGCCAGTCCCAGGGTATGCGAGCGCCTCGGCATGCCTCAACACGCTGGCCACCAGCCGCCAGCCGCCACCCCCACCTGCCAACTGCCGGCCGCCAGCCGCCACAACAGCAACCCTGCAGGCCCACCCCCACCTGCATGAGGTTCCCGCGGTATCCCGCCACCTTGTCCCGCATGGTCTTGGTCAGCTGCCCGCTGGCGGGGCGCCGCCAGCGCTGGCCGTAGTGCTGGCTGCGGCAGGCAGGGCGGGGCGGGAAGGCGGCGCAGGGTGTGCAAAGGTCGAGGCGTGCCAGCCGGCCCAGCTGGTGGGCGTGCAGGAGAGCACGCGCCCCGCAGGCCTCGCTGCTGCACCCAACCTTGTCCTCACTCAAGCCAGCACAGCACAGCAGCAGGCACAGGCGGGCTCCCCCCTCCTGCGGCACCTCTTCCTACCCACCGCAGATCCGCATCCTCCTTCTCCTCCGCCGACAGGTCGGCCTCAATGCCGTCCAGCTCATCCAGGCACGCGCGGCGCAGCTCCTGCGGCAGGCGGCACAGGGTGGCAGGGCGTGTATGCGCGGGCCGGGGAGGTGGGCGCCGGTGTGGGCTGGCGCGAGCACAGGCACACAGGCGCATGGGTTGTTGCGCCTGTTGGAGGCGCGAGCCCCAGGCCAGCCCAAGCTGCCTTCTTTTGGCGCAGCACCCCGCCGGGGAACAGCACACGGCAAGCGCCAGCCCCAGCCCCATCCGCCTGGCCGGCAGCCAGCTGCAGTGCGCGCCGCACCTTGACCTGCTGCTGCACCTCCTGCAGGTGCTGCAGCCCGCCGCCGTCCTGGATGCTTTCCAGCTCCACACGCACAGCATCCGGCAGCGCCGCCACCGTGCCCGCCTCCAGTGCCTGCAGCGCCTGCAGCAGCAGCACCACAGCAGCAGCAGGGGCAGAGTGGCAGGGTCAGATTGGAGCGCAGGCGGGCAGGGAGCCGCGCACGTGCGCCGAATGCACGACGGCGGCGGCTGCAAGCGCCGGCCAGCGAGCAGCATCCGGCCGCATCGGCCAGCCTCCAGCCGCCGATCCAGGCAGCCCAGCACAGGCCACCAGGCAGCCGCCTCGCCTCTGGCAGCTCCCACTCCCGCAGCCGGATGCGCGCATCATCCGAGGCGCCGTTGAGCTTGTGCATCTGCGAGCGGCAGGTGGGAGTGCGGGAGTGACGGCGCAGTTTGAAGTTTGTGGGGAGAGGAGCGGGCACAGGAGACGGAGCGGGCGACCGTGGGGAGCAGCCCAAGCCGCCAGGGGGCCGGCCGGCTGCACCATCCGCCACACAACTGCAGGCAGCAGCTTCCAACCCCGCCCCCACCTGGCTGCGTATCAGGCTGTCAACCATGTCGCTGTACTTGGACAGGGCCTTGGCGCTGCAGGCGGTGGGAAGGAGAAGGGGGGCAAGCGTTGGTTTTGCAAAGGGGAGGGGGGCAGACAGGCAGTCGGAGGCAGTCGGTAGGCCCTTGGAAGCCAGGCAGGAGCAGGCGCGCAGGCAGGACAAGGGTGCGCTCCCGCCCCCACCTGTTGTCCGGCACCACCGACGTGAACATGCTCTGCTGCTCGTCGGCCGTGGGTTTGAGCAGGTCGCCGGGAGGGGTGGGTTTGACCAGCGAGGCCGGCACAATGGGCGGCAGGTCGACCTCGGCAGGGATGCGCTGCAGGTGCATGGCGGCAGGCGGTACGGCAGGCGGCGCGAGTGTGGTGGGGCTGGAGATGGGAGGAGGAGGCAGCTGCCTGGGGCACGCAGCAGCCCAGCCTCATCCGGGGAAGCCCAGTCCCCCACAGTCACTTCTGTCGGCTGGCTCATGCGCTGCCGCCGCCCATGATGCTCCGAAGAAAGCCGCCATCCCTCACCTGCAGGTAGACGGTGCTGTTCTCGCGCTCCGCCTTCTGCAGCCGCGTGGCAATCCACTGCTCCTTCCACGCCACATTGTCCTGCGGGCAGGCATACGCACATAGGCAGGCGTTGTGCGCGTATGGCGGCAGTGTGCGGAAGCAATGACGCACACAGGCAGGCCGGAGTGTGGCCAACGGAAACGCAGGCAGAAGCGCAACGCCGCCCGCACACCCGTGGGCCCTCCCCGCAGCCCCCAGTAGCAGCAGCCCGCACCTGCAGCTCCTTGCTGGCGTTGCGTGCCTCCGCCTTGGCCTGCACCAGCACCTGCTGGGAGGCCTGTAGGGCGGGAGGGGAGCGGGAGGCGGAGAGGAGGGAATGAGGGAGCAGGCCGGCAGGGCGAGCCGGCGCAACCGCGCTGGGAGGCGCTGCAAGACCAGGGCCGCACCTCCCAACAGTGACCGCCTACCCTCCTGCCTACACGATCGTCCCCTCCAGCTCGGCCCAGACTCCAGCCCCAACCAGCCACGCAACCTCCCTGACCGCCCATGCATCCACCCACCCGCCCTATCCACCCACGGCTGCCCGCCCACCCACCCGCAGCCGCGCAATCTCCTTGGCCACGCCCGCAAACTCGTCGGCTTCCCGCAGCGACGCGCTGTTCTGAACCGTGGCCTCCACCTCGTACAGCAGCGCCTTGACGGAGGCGTGGGCCAGCCAGGAGCGGTCAAAGTGCTGCGAGTCGGGGCGGTGGGGGGGGTGGGGGGGGGCGGGGGCAGAGAGGGGGGCAGTTGATGCGTGCTGGAGCATAGAGGGAGGCGCACTCGGGAAGGTAAACAGAGGAGGGCAGGGGCAGCGGAGGGTTGTGCGTGCAGCGAGTGCTAACGGCTGACCCTCGCACCCTCCAGGCCTCCAGCCCCAGCCTGGGCCACGCCAGCAGCATGCACACGGGTTGCCCCAGGCCAGCCCCCTAGTCTGACCCCCTGACCAGCCCCCTGGGCTCCCTGCCGCACGCCCCACCTGGCTGAGCGGCGCGGCGCTGAGCAGGGAGGCGCACTCGCGGTAGAAGACGGCGGCCTGCTTGGCCACGCGCGCCACCACCCCAGGCGCCTTCTTGTCCGTGATCGCCTTCTCCAGAACGCACTCCTGCCGGGCAGGGCGGGGTGCGGCGGGATCCAGGGTTGGCCAGGGTGTGGGTGTGGGTGGATGCAAGGGAGGTGGAGGGGCAGGGCAGGTTGAGGGGGTCCTCGAGCACACCGGCTGCCCCCGGGATGGCGTATGCCTGAAGCCGAGCAGCCACCACACGCACGCAGCCAAGCAGGCAGTGCCACACGTTGTTCGCCACCCCCCCAGTGACGCACACATGACACGCACATAACACACACATGACACACACATGATGCACACCCCAGCTGGCTCCCCACCTGCGCCTGCGCCAGCATCAGTTTCTCCAGCATCGCCGCCGCCTCGGGGGTCAGGTCCAGCGGGCGCGGCTGCTCCACCTTGAGGCTGGCCGCGTCGCGCAGGTGGGCAAAGGTGCCCGCAGACTCCTGGACCGCGAGGGAGGCGGTTCGGGGAGAATGGGCATGGAGGTGGTGCAGTTGGACAATGGGTGTAGAGCACAGGAAGAGAAGCAAGACTGCGCCTGCCACTGCTTGCATGCCGTCCCAGCCCAGCCAGCCAGCCAGCCAGAGGACTCTTGGCAATTTCTGGTAGGCAGCACGCCCAACCTGCACCCAGCTGCACGCCGCACCTGGAAGAACTTGGCGCTCTCCTTCAGCCCTGCGTCGGTCTTGCGGTCGCACTGCAGCGCCAGCTGGCTCTGCAGCGGGGCGGGGAGCCGGGCAGGGCAGGGGGTGAAGCAGGGAGCAAGGCAACATGAAACGTGCGCAAGCGGCGGAGGTAGCAGCAGCAGCGGAAGGCGAGGCCTGTTGTGCGGGCATGCCGTGCAGAACAGCAGCTAAGAGCAGCGCCACCACAGGTGGCTGCCTTGCCTGCACCGCCCCCAGGTTGAAAACGATGGCGGCCTTTTCGAAATGGATGGACGTCTGCTCGGAGCGCTTCTGCGGCCTGCGCGCAGCACCGGCAAAGCCACAGAGGACAGGGTGGGGATGGGCGCCGGGCGCGAGCCACCAGGGCAGCACCGGCTAGGCTGCACCGCAGCGCCGCCGAGGCCGTTCCCAGTTTGGCGCGCCGCACCTGAAGGCGTCGCTCCAGCCAAACTCCACGTTGGCGTGGCCAGGGCTGCGGCTGATGGGGAACCGAGCCTCCATCAGCCTGCATGCACGTGCGCACACCAACGAGCGGCGGCAGTCAAGCCCCGGCACTCCAATCCTCTCCTGCTGCGGCCAGCTTAAAGGAGTCATGTCCAGCTGAGGCTGCCGGTCAGAAGCAAACAAGCCCACGCCCCTGCTGCCGCAAGGTACAGCCGCCTGGCCACCGCGCTGCTGTGAGGCGGCGCCCTCGCACAATCCCCCTGCCGCAAGGCACAGCCCCCTGGCCAGCACCCACGTGAGCAGGCGGTAGTACTTCGCCAGGTTGGCTGCCTGCATGCTGAGCGGCCCCGTCTGGTTGACGCAGTCGGCGCGCAGCTGCAGCACCTCCTCAAGATCCTCCGCCGCATCCGCGCCCGCCTGCGAGCAAGCAGGAGGGCCAGCGGCATTGATGGGCACACAGGGCCAGGGTTGGGGAGGGCGGGCGGAGCTCGCGCGGGGACGGCGGCTCCTGGGCTCATAGTTGCAGCGTCTAGGACCTAGTTTCCAGGAGGAAGGGTCAAGGCAAGCGTGCCAGCGGCTCCTGCCGTGCGGAACGGCAGCGGCAACGCTCCCCGCCGCCCGCTGCCGCTGACCGTGCGCCTCCAGCGCCGCGGCGCTGGCCCCTATTCACCTCAGCGCCATAGCTTCCCTTCACGTACTCCACGATCGGGCCCTTGAACTCCACCGGCTCTGACTTCTTGCAGTGCACCGCCAACATAATGGTCTGCGGCATCGTGGGAGCGGCCTCCCGGGATCCGGGGGGCTTGACGGGGGAGGGTGCCGGCGGAACCGGTGGGCACGGCGCGTGGGGATCGGAGGGAACTCGATGATCGCGTGGTGTGCAGCCTTTGCGGGCGTGTCACTCACTGCCGCTATGCAACAGTGTTGTCGACCCTGCACTTGTGCCCTGCAATGGTGCAGCATTGCCAGCGATGCGTTTCACGCGTTTCACGAGTCCCTTGGAAATACGCCAGAACGGACGAATGGGATTGGGTGGTTGTCAGAGGCCGAGACAACAGCGCCTCAGGAAGCATTCATCTCGTTGAACAGCCCATTTTGCTCCCTCAAGCAACATGGCGGTCGTGGTGGCGCTCGACTGGACGCCAAACACTAACCACGTCGGCTTTTATGTCGCCAAAGGCACGCATGGCTATTGCCAAAGCACCATGAGTCTCAGCCTCTGACATGCCCACGTGCAACCCCTTGGCATCACCTCCTTCGTGCTGCAGCCAAAGGCCTTTACGCCGCCAAAGGCCTCGATGTGACCTTCATCAGCCCGCACACAGGTGGGCAATGCACGCGGGCCACTGCGCTGGCAGTGCCGCTCGCCGCCGGGTGGCGCTGGCAGCAGCCACTGGCTTGTGCTCAGGGCCCGCCACTACTGATGCCGGCGCATGTGCAGACGACTACAAGGCCACCCCCGCCTCGCGGGTGGAGAGCGGCGAGGCCACGTTTGCCATCACGCCCTCAGGTGGGTGCGGGCGCGCCGCCTGCCCTCCGGGTGTGCGGCAGCTGCTCAGTGAGCCACACGTCCAGTCACTCATATTGCCCCGCTGGCGCAGAGAGCGTGATCAGCTACAACACGTGGCCTGAGGCCGACAAGAAGCGGCCCAAGCTGCAGGTGCAGCAGCTACCGCCGACCCGGCTCCGCTGCGCTTGCCTGCTGCTAGCGGGTGCCGCCTGCGATGTGCCTCGCCACTGTTGTGCTGCTGCTGTGGCCGCCTGCTGGCCACGCCCCTGGCTGTCCCTGCCCAGCTGCTGTCCTCAACCCTCCCCCCCTCTCTCCCCTCGCCCCCACGACTTGCAGGCCGTGGCGGCGCTGCTCCAGCAGGATACCAGCGCAGTTGTCACCCTGAAAGCCTCGGGCATCGATCGGCCAGCCAAGGTGGGCTTCATTCGCAGCACCAGGAGCAGCACCAGGCGCAAGCGTGCACCGTGATGGGGAATAAGGTGCCAGCCAAGATTGCTTCGCCGGTCCCTCGACCGCCTGCTGCAGTTCAGGAAGGCCACGCACCTTGCCCCTCTCCTTGCCCCCTCTTGCCCCACACACCCACTGCCTCCTCCCTACCGTCCGGCCGCCCGCCTGCTTCCAGCTGGAGGGCAAGCGGTACGCCTCCTACGCCGCGCGGTACGAGGGCCGCATCGTGCAGTCGCTCATCAAGAATGATGGCGGCAGCGGGGAGTACCAGGAGCTGGTGCTGCCCATGCTGGGCCTGTGGAACACGCTGCTCCAGGTGGGCTGGAAGGGGCTGGTCATGCCACTGGCAGGTGAGGACCTGGCTGGGGATCCGTAGAGCAGGCAGGAAGCTGGTCGGGTTCCTGTGCTGGGGCTGTTCGGACCATTGCTGCCCAAGATGTGCGTCGAAGAGCTGGCTGCCGCTCCTCGTGTCGCCGCGCCGCGCGCCTCCCGCCCCTCGCCCGATCGCTACAGCCCCGCGCTTGCCTGCCCTCCGCGCCGCAGGGCGAGGCAGAGGCCACCTGGGTGTTCATGGGGTGGGAGGGGGTGGAGGCGGCGCGCAAGGGGGTGGAGCTCAACGTGTTCAAGTGAGAGGCAGAAGCCCAAGCGGCAGCTGCTGGGCAGCAGCAGGATGGATGGCAGGCGCAGCTTGTGCCTTCCCAGCAGCTGCGCTGGCGCAGCATGCACATGCAACACATTGCACACGTGACAGCGTGCCACCCTCTGCCGCCGCAGGCTGGGAGACTACAATATTGCCTACGGATACTCGCCGGTGCTGCTCACGCACCCAGACACGCTCAGGTGCTCGGCCGCGGCGGATGGCGGCAGTCGCTGTGCTGAGCAGGCAGCCCCGAGCCAGTTTCGAGGTCCTGCCTGCATCTCCTGTTAACCCTGCTCTGCCACCTTGCCTCTCACCTGCCACCTCGGATCCTGCCTGTCCTGCTCTGTCCCTGCCTGCCTGCAGCTCCTCGCCGGACACCGTGCGCACATTCCTGGCAGGTACTGCCGAGGGCTACCGCTGGGCGGCGGCGCACCCGGAGGAAGCCGCAGACATGTTTGCCGAGCTGGCGGCGGCGGAGAACCCGGGCCTGCCACAGCCGCTGGATCGGGGCATGTGCCGGGACAGCATGCAGCTGGTGGTGCAGGTGGGCTGGTCGGCAGTGTCTGTGGCTGAGCAGACCGCAGTGCACCGCATCCGCTGCCACTGATCCACCTCATACCTGAGCGACGTGCGTCCTGCTGCTCCCATGGCGCTGCAGCACCTGCTGGCCGAGGATGGGCGCTGGGGCGTGATGAAGCAGTCGCGCTGGGACGCGTTTCTGGACTGGCTCTCAGGTGTGGGGGGCTGCCGGTGCTGCTGCTTTGGTCAGCCACAGTCATGCCGTGCCTTTGACAAGACAGGTGCCTGGTGAACTCCTCTGGCTCGGTGGCGCGCTGCTTAGCGCTGCCCTGTCTCTCCACGGATGCCGCAGAGAGCGGGCTGCTGACAACAAAGGTGCAGAGCCGGAACGGCAAGGTACGTAGCACACACTGGAGACGTGGAGACGGCTTGCGGGGATGCCGGCTGCGACGCGTGGCCTGCCTCTGAGCCATCTGGCATGCAGCAATTGCTGGGACCGTCTCAGGCACCGTGCACCGCTCAGGCTCTGCCTGGTTTCCTGCAGGACGGCGTCACGACCAGCCTGGACGGGCTGCGGTCTGGCAACTGCGGCGAGCGCATCCCGCGTGATGCGATCAGCAGCGGCAGCCTGTTTACAAACGACTTCTTGCCCTGAGCAGGCGCGAGGCAGGCAGCCTCCAGAACTTTTGACATTTCAGACTATTCAATCGTGGGAGGCATCATGGCCTGCAGCGGCGGTGAGTAAGCCTGGTGTGATTTATTGGGGGAGACTGCCATCTTGAGATGAAAGGAGGAAAAACTGTGGGCTGTCAAAAGAATGAAAACAATAGGGGTGGTGGGGGATCATAGCCTTCCAGTCAAGCATGGAGAGAGGGAATGGGGAGGCATGCAGCAATGCAGCGCACGCACTTTTTTTGGTTTTATCTGAGACAGGATTGCTGGTGGCCGTAGGGGCTGCACCATTCATGGTGCAGCCCACTGACGCTGTACGTGTGGTGGCGGTGCAGCAGGAGGACGGGCGTCTGTCAGGGTTGTTGGGTCTGGATCTGGAGAGAGATTGGTGGACGTGAGGTGGTAGAGAGGGGTGGAGACAGGGGTAGAGAGAAGGGGTGTGACAGAGAACAAGGGCTCACCGAGCCCAACGGCGCGTAGCTCAAAATGCCGTGGCGGCGGTACCGCCTGCTCTGCGGTTGAGTGGATGGCGTGGTGGGTATTGGTGCCCTCGCTACGGCTTGGGCGTGGGCTTGGCATGCTGCTTAGCTGTTGAGGCGCCCGAGTTGGCTGCCGCTGCCGACTTGACTGCCGCCGCCAGCCGGGTCAGTTTGGCTTGAAGCTGGGCCAGCTGGGCGTTGACCCGCTTGACTGCGGGCAGGCAAGCAAAAAGGCAGGCAGGCAGGGACACAGTTGAACGCTGAGGGACACAGTTGAACTCTGAGCCACAGACAGCACTGGGATGGACGGTGATGTGCCAGCAGGTGGGACGCAGGCGACGTCATGTCAGCGGATGATCCGCTGGTGCCAGCACCCCGGCTGGCTGGCCCCGCCGTGACCCGCGCACACCTGCCGCTGCGCTGCTGGCCATCTGCCGCTCCAGCGCCGCCAGCCGCTGGCTCATGCGCTGCTCAGCGGTGGACCAGAAGTGCTCAGGCAGGTCTGCAAAAGGGGCAGGAATGATGATTGACAGAAAACAGTGGGATGGGAGGGAGCTGCCACAGCCTGTCACTGCGGCTTCTGCTCTGCACCCCGCATAACACCGGCCAGCCCCTGGCCCTTGGGCCCCTCCGCCGCCACTCACCAAAGTGCCGCGTGCCGACGCTGGTGGCCACCACGATGGTGGCGGCGGCGCGGCTGCTGCTGTCACTGTTGCGCTCGCACTGCAGCGACTGGCGGCCGGCCGCGGCGGTGAGGCGGAAGCCGGGGCGCAGCTGGGAGGACAGATAGTAGCAGCGCACGGGGCCGCTGCGCGAGAGGCGGTGGAAGGTGATACCGCCGCCATCCTTTCGTGTGCAGGCTGCATGGCAGATCGCGGAACGCGGGAGAGGAGGCAGGGTGGGGAGGGCTGGCGGGTGGCGGCAACGGGAGGCAGCTCCTGTCTGTCAAGCTGTTGAGGCCAGCAGCTCCTGGGGCTGCCGCACAGGGGCTGGTCCTGCAATGCCCGACCAGCAATGCGTGCCTGCTGCTCTCCCGTGCTGCGCGGCGCAGCGTGCCTGCCGCTCCCAACATACGACAAAAGGCAACCCACCCAGCGTCAGGGTGAAGAGGTCTCCGTCCTGGGTGATGAGCGGATCCATTGCCAGCCCCCGCTGCGCCATCGCCTGGCACGCCTCAAACTCGCTCACCTGCAGCAGCAGCCGGCAGGGGCGATGCATGGGACGTGCAGGCTCGGGCAGGGCAGGCTCGGGCAGGGCAGGGGCAGTGCAGCAACGCGCAGCGGCGTGCATGCCCCCCGGGGTAGAGGAGCAGCCAGGCGAGGCTCTGCCAGCCGCAGCGGCTCAGAGGCAGCGTGCAAGCCAGCATGCGGTGCAACGGCAGGGCTCCCAGTGGTGGGGGAATCCCCACCTCTGACTCACCACATTTGGGTCCAGCCAGGAGGAGAAGGTGTCAAGTGCAGCCTGCCCGACAGTGCCGCTTCCGCCGCACAGGTTGTTCCTGCAGCAGGGGGCCCCCACGAGCGAGCCGGGGGCAAGGCTCAAACGCTTGGCCGCATGCGGTGGGCTTGCTGGGCCTGATGCTGCCGCCCTCCAAGCGGCGGGCGCCGGCTGCTGCTGCTGCAGGAACCCACCCACCGGTAGGCAGCCAGCCGCGTCTGGGCATCGGGTTTAGAGAGCGCCAGAGCGAAGGAGGAGGCCCCCACATACACCCCAAACTGCATTCTCTTGCCGTCAGGGGTGGCCCCAAGGTCCGACACGCGGGTCGCCGGGGAGCACTGCGGGCACAAGGGTGGCAGGGGGTAGGAGGATAGAGGCCGAAGGCCAGTGTGGGACGGACGCCAATGATTCATTACTCACACCACTCGATCCAGAGCAACTACAACAGCTGCGGCATGAACAGCTTCCGACCCGGCCAGCTAGCGGCATGGTGTCGCCGCCGCCATCTAGATGACGGTGCACTCACCATTGCGCTCTGGAACTGCGACTGCGCCGCGCTGCTGTAGGTCACCCGGGAGACACCCAGGAAGACGCTGAACACGCCATTCGCCAAAAGCTGCTCGCACCCAGAGGGGACAAAATTCGACTCTATGGCCGTGGTGACGCCCTCCGACATGTCGTCAGCGGCCACCAGGGCCACCAGAAAAGCCAGCAAGAGGCAGCGGGAGGGCGACATTGCGCCGCCCGGGAAGCTGGGCAGGTGGTTTGGTGTTTAACAAGAGCTCGCTGCTGCTGCAGACCGAGGAAAATGAATGGGTCCAAGGAGCATGGCGTGTGATCACGCGTGAAACTAAGCAAGGAGGCGCGGCCCGTAGCAACCAACCCCTACCCGCCGGCCACCTCAGCGCAGCGCGCGCGCCCGCAGAAGCAGAGGGGAAGGTGCAAGCCCACCTTCTTCTGCGGCGGTTTTGAGGTTCGCTGGTGCAGCTCAAGTGAAAAGGTGCCGGCTTTCAGTGCAGCGGGGGGGATGCTGCACCGCAAAGACGCGGCATCTCATGCTGTGCACCGCCGTCCTGCAATGAATCTGCTCGTTCGGCCGAGCTGAGAGTCTCACTTGTAATACGAATAATGGCTCACAATATAACACGACTCCAAATTTCAATCGCAGCCAGCAGTGCCTCTGCACGGCGGTCCGCAGTCGCTTGCCGGCGGGCAGCGCCCAGCCCGCCACCTGGCCCAGCTTGGCATACCCGAAGCGCATGCATATGTAGAGCCCTTTCAAACATTGACGCTGTAGCGACCTATAGGGAGCTGCAAGACGCAGCGCATGCACCTCCAATCACGCGCGCCACATCCATTTCGCCGGCCTGCACTGCACCTGAGTGCCTGGTGTACCTGGATTGAAGCCTGAGCCAGCTTTTATATATACTGAGCCAGCCCCGCCATGATTAGCGCGCTGGCCTGGATTCCCAGAGGCGCCGCCAAAGCGGTGCCCGAGATGGCTGAGCTCTCCGAGGCCGAGTTGGAGGCCATGAAGGCAGCGGCAGCAGAGGAGGGCGAGGAGCAGCACGAGGTGGGCGCGCGTTGCCGCTGCCGCCGCCTGCTCGCCGCCGCCGCCTGCCGCCGCTGCCGCTCAGCCATGCTTGCGCCCCTGTTCCTCCTGCTGCAGGAGGGATCGGACACCTCTGCCGACGAGGAGGACGAGGAGGAGGGCGAGGAGGCGGCTGCCAGCGGGAGTGACATGGAGGATGAGGATGAGGCCGCTGAGGTCGCGAGGGCGCGCGCGGTGGCCGCGTCCATGCGCAGGAGCCGGCCAGAGGGCGGCGCCGGCGGCGGCGCGGGGGGCGGCGACTACCTGGCAGCTGCCATGGCTGAGCTGGACATGGAACACTACGACGACGACAGCGGCGGGGAGGGGGCCGGCGCCGTGGGACGCATCCTCGGCAGCGGCAACCCCGGTGGGTGGGCGGGCTGCGGGTCGCGTGCGCGCCGGGCGCCGTGGCTGCTGCTGCTGCTGCTGCTGCTGCTGCTGGGCGGGCACGTTGCCGGGGGAGGGCGTGCAGGGGCTGCTCGGGTGTGTGGCTATGCGTGCTCGAGGCACAGGGAGTGGGGGCCTGTAAGAGCCGCCGCAGCAGCAGCAGGGCTTTGGCGGCGTCGCAGCTGAGCACCCGTACCGCGCCTCCGGTTGCCTACCTATGGCTGCGCCCCACCCCACACCCTATGGCTACCCCCCATCCCCACAGCCCCGCCCCCCGTGCTCCCCCACCCACCCAACGCCCGTCGCAGGCATGTCATACCACCGCGACCCGGCAGCCGACCCGTTCCTGCGCTCCGCCGCCGGCGCCGGCGGCAGCGACAGCGACAGCGACGACGACAGCGAGGCCGACGCGTTCCGCCTGCGGGACGACGACCTGCTGGTGCTGGCTGCCAGGAACGAGGATGACGTGTCTCACTTGGAGGTGGGTGGGTGGCGCCTGGGGTGCCGCAGTGCCCGCTGCCGGTGTGTGCTGTGGTGGTGTACATGCGGCTGCCTCGTCGCTGGTCTGCATGCACGCTTGGTTTCCAGGCAGCCTTCGCCACCCCCCTCTCCTGCCCCTGCCACACACCCTTTGCTGCTTCCCCTGCCCACGCCCCTGCCGCCCACCTCCTGCCCTGCCCTCCCCGGGTGCGCACCTCCCGCGCCTGCAGGTGTGGGTGTATGAGGATGCCGATGAGCGCGGGCCCGCCAACCTCTTTGTGCATCACTCCCTCATGCTGCCCGCCTTCCCGCTCTGCGTGGCCTGGCTTGACTGCGACCCGAGCGGCAGGGTGAGGGCGGGGGCTGGGGGGAGGGGGAGGGCAGGGGGCGTGGCTGCGTGAGTTTATGCGTGCTTGTGTGTGTGCGTTTATGTGTGTGTGGTGGCGTGTGTGTTTGTGTGTGTGTTTGTGTGTGTGGTGGTGGTGGTGGAGGTGTGGTGTGCGTGTGCATGTGGGTGTGCGTGCTGGTGTGGAGGCTAGCGAGACGGTATGGTGTTTGCGATGGCGGTCCTTGCCTGGTGGATTGAGGCCGCGGGCCGATTTGTTCCCACTGTGGGGCCCTGCACCTTGCCCAGAAGCCGCGGGATTTTAACACACCCGCCCGGCTGCCCCCGCCCGCCGCCTCGTTTGCAGCGCGAGCGCGCCAACATCGCGGCGGTGGGCTCCTTTGAGCCAGGCATTGAGCTGTGGGATATGGACGTGGTGGATGCTGTGGAGCCTCTGGCCACCCTGGGCGGCGCAGACTATGCGGCGGCGCGGGCGGCGGCCGGCGCGGCCGACCCGGGCGGCGGCGAGGCCAAGGCGGGCGCCTCCGGCGCCGACGGCAAGAAGAAGAAGAAGAAAAAGAAGAAGAAGGGGGCGGCGCCGGAGGTGAGAGGGCAGGTGGAGGGTGACGGGGTGTGGGCTGCTGCTTCCAGGCATGGCGGGCGGTCCTGTCGGACTTACTGGTTGTCAAAAGCGCATGCTGTGCCGTGCCGCGGCTCAGCATGCCCGCCCCCGCCCCCCCGACCCGATTGCGGTGCATGCCCGCCCCCGACCCCCCGACCCGATTGCGGTGCTGCGCAGGTGCCCGTGCGGCCGGGGAGCCACGGCGACGCGGTGCTGGGGCTGGCCTGGAACCAGGCGGTACGCAACGTGCTGGCCTCCGCCTCGGGTGAGCACAGCAGGCGCAGCAGGCACGGCAGGCACGGCAGGCGCAGCAGCAGCAGCAGGCGTGGCAGCAGCCCTGCTGGCCAGTGTCGGCCGTGGGGCGCGCAGCAGCGGGGGCAGCAGGCACAGCCTGGCGAAGGCCCCTTCGCCTGCCTGCCGGCTCTGCCGCGGCCGCTGCCCTCGCCTGCCAGCGCCCCTCGCTCACCTCCCTCCCCTCCAACGCCGCTGGTACCGCTGCCGCTGCTCCTGCCGCAGCGGACAGGACGGTCAAGGTATGGGATGTGTCTCGCCAGGCGTGCCAGCACACGCTGGGCCACCACGCGGGCAAGGTGCAGGCGGTGGCGTGGAACCCGGCAGAGCCTCCCGTGCTGCTCAGCGGCGGCTTCGACAAGCGCGCCTGCCTGGTGAGGCGGCGCCGGCTGCGGCGGGGGTGGAACTGCGGCCACCCCCACCAGCTGCCGCTGCGCGTGCTGGGGTGCGGCGCGGCTGGGCCGCTGCAGCTGCCGCCAGCTGGCTCCGGCCGCCAGCTGGCGGGCACTGCGGCCCTCCCCAGGACCCTGCCTGCCCCTCCCCGCCCCAGCACGCTTGCCCATCCGTCGTTGCTCGCGCAGCCTGCCTGGGGCTCCCTTTCGCGTGTCCCATCCTCCCATGAATCCCCACCTTCCCTCTGCCGCCCGCAGGTGGACGTGCGCATGCCTGACGGCGGCGTCGTGCCCACGTGGCAGGTCAGCGCTGACGTGGAGGCACTGGCGTGGGACCCGCACCACCCTACCCAGTTTGTGGTCAGCGGGGAGGATGGGGTGGTGGCCATGTACGACACGCGGCAGGTGGGCCGGCTGCCGTAGCGGGGTGCTTGTGCTTGTGCTTGTGTGTGTGTGTGTGTGTGTGTGTGCTTGTTTGACGACGGGGCGCGGCCCGGCTGCAATCGTCAGGCGCCGCCAGCCGTGTTGAGCGTTCCAGGCCGGGAGCGAGGCGCCCAGCGCCGGCTCACACACGCCTGCACGCTGCCCGGGTGCGTTGCCGCCGCAGGGCGCCGCCAGCGCGCCGCTGTACCGCCTGAGCGCCCACGACAAGCCCACCTGTGCGCTCAGCTTCTGCCCCGCGGTACCGGGCCTGCTGGCCACCTCCTCAACCGACAAGAAGGTGGGTGGGTATGGGGGCCCTGGGCTGTGTGTTTGGGGCTCTGGCTCTAACCTTGCCGGCGGCGGCGGGCTGCCCGCTGCACTCCCCGTGCGCCATGCATGGGTGTGGTGTCCTCACGTGCTGCTGCTGCCAGCAAGCGAGCATCGCCGGCGTGGCTCAAGCGACTGCTGCACGCCCGCCTGCATGCCCGCCCGCCTCCCGCCTCCCCGCCTTCCCTGTGTAGGTCAAGGTGTGGAGCATGGCAGACAACAAACCCACGATGCTGGCAAGCCAGAACCTGCAAGTAGGGGCTGTCTTCTCAATGTCCTTCTGCGGGTGAGCGGGAGGTGGGATGTGGCGGCTGCAGGTTCTGGCAGCTCTGCGGGAGAGGGGGTGGCCGGGAGGGGGGCGGTCGTGGTCTGATCCTGGCACGTTGCACTGTGTGGATTCGGCGCCTCTCTGCACCCGCCCCTCGACCTCCCGCGTCTACCCCCAGCTGATCGCCAGCCTGATCGCCAGCCTGCCGCCTGCTTTCCTCCGCGCCCCCGCCGCAGCGACTCGCCGCTGGTGCTGGCAGCGGGCGGCGCCAAGGGAACTGTGTCTGTGTGGGACCTTTGGTCTGCAGGCGGGGTCAGCGCCTATGTGCAGCAGCACGCGCCCGCGGTGGCGGAAGCGCGCGGCGGCGGCGGCGCGGCAGAGTAGCCGGTGCACATGCCTGCCGCCTGCCTGCCCCCGCTTTCTTCACTTCCTTTGCTGCTTTCCGCTGCTGCTCCCATTTCATTCAGCCCCCTGCTCGTTGCCATTGTTTGGCGGTGTGTAACACGTAAAGAAGGTAGGTGAGCAGCAGCAGAAGGTCTCCCACATGTGGGAGTGGGGCCACAGCAAGGCCGTCAGGCCGGCGTCAGGGGCCGCCAAGCACACTTGCGGGCAGCCATCCGGGGTGCAGCAGAATCAACCCTCAGAGGTGCAGGAGAGTCGAGGAGCGGAGCAGGCGTCGAGCGGGGAGTGGGAGTGCGGGAGCAGCGAGCAAGCAATGGTTCAGCAATGGGAGATGAGATGCAGCGGCGCAGGGGGAAGGAAGGAAGCCAGGGGCGGGCCAAACGCCAGGTGGAGAAGCCCAGGAGGAGCTGAGCGGGCCCAGCTGCCGGGAAAAAAAACAGGGAGGCCCGGGGGCAACCCTGGGCGGCCGGCGCCTCCCCCCGAGGGATGCAGAGGGATGCACTCGGCCCAAACCCTTCTCCTGGCGGCCCGCCCGCGCCGGCCCCCTCATCGCTCCTTGTCGTCGCCGCCCAGCTCCCGCACAATCTGCTGCCAGGAGCGGCGGGTGGTGGCTGCCATGTAGGACACATTCTGCCCCATCTTGTCCACCATGCGGCGCGAGATGCGCAAGAAGCTGCGGGGCACAGGGGAGGAGGGAGGAGGGGATGATGAGATGAGGCAGGCAGGGACGAGGGAGCAGAGCTCCCTTCCCGTGGCACGCGAGGCAGGGCAGCAGGGCAGGACGCAGCAGGCAGGCAGGGCAGCAGCAACGCAAGGCAGGGCAGCAGCAATGCAGGCAGGCGGGCGATGCAGCAGCAACGCAAGGCAGGGCAGGGCGCAGCAGGCGGGCGGGCGATGCAGGGCGCAGGCGGGCGGGCAGCGACCCACCGCCCCTTGAGCCGCTCCCAGTCCAGGCCGTCCCCCACGTCCGGCAGCCGCCCCGCCCCGGGTACAAAGCTGCGCCCCGGGCGCTGCCGCACGTCGCCGCCCTGCTGCGGGCCGGGCGGCGGCGGCACGTCGGGGCCGCCGCCGCCGGCCGCCATGTCGGGGCCGCCGGCGCCCATGAGCTCGGGCCGCTGGTTGACGGCGGCGGCAGACACGACCTCCAGGCCCTCGCAGTACGGCAGCTGTACCGCGTCCGCCTGGCTGCTGCGCCGCGCCGCCGCACGCTTCAGCGCCTCCTCGTCCCATGCCGAGTATCCCAGGCACACGTACCTGCAGGGTGGTGTGGTGTGTGTGTGTGTGGGAGGGGGGACTTGCAGGGGTGCAAACTGAGCTGGCCAGGCGTAGGGGATGGCATAAACAGCGGCGGCGGCAGCAGCGGCAGCAGTGGTGGCGAGCTGCGGGCTCGGGTTTCTGATGCGGCGGCGAGAGCCGGCGCAGACGCAAAAGGGCGGCCGCTGATGGCAGTGCTGCGGGGCAACAGCGGAGAGAGAGAGAGAGCAGGCGGCGAGGCGGCGGCGGCAGGCAGTGTGCCCACACACTTGAAGTCCCCTCCCGGCACTGAATCTGTGGGCAGCTGCGCCGCGTCATCAGTGGGCTTCAGGCGTTTGGCAAACCCGGCGCACACCTGCGTGCACGGACAGAACAAGAGGGCTGGCGTGAGGTGCTGGCAGCGGCGGCGGGAGCGGCGGCGCGCGCCGGACCCAAGAGCCAGGAGCGGCTGCGCGTCCCGGCCCGGCCGCCTCTGCGGCTCGGCTCTCACCGGGGGCTTCTGCGCGGCGTATCGACCCATGGAGAAGTAGGCAGCGCCTAGGCAACACTTGGGCAGCCGCTTGGCCTCCTCCTGGGCTCCTTCGGGCTGCCGCGGCTGCATGGCGCCTCCCAGCCGCCGTGAAAGCTGCCAGGGGCTGCCCAAGTGAGTGGCCCACGGGATGTGTGGAATGGCAACTGTGGGGAGCAGGAGGCGTGGGCCAATTGGGGAGCAACACTATGATCGCGATCGACTAGTGGGCTGTTAGCAGCACAGCGTGGCTTTCTGCTCTACCGCTCAGCAGGCAACTCAGCGACGGGGGGAGTATGGTTGGCCTCTGTGATGGCGCATTCGGCCCCCTCCAATCGCGCGACGGCCTGCAAACGTCAGTGACCGATGATTGGATTCCAGGCCTCTGTTCTACCCGCCACCAGGCAAGTGCGCCCTGGCCGCTGGCCAAATGGGCCTGCGCGACACCGCTCCGACTGACTCTCCGATCAGTGTATCCGCAGGCGGGCCTGTAATTGCCCAAGGGATGCGGGGATAGGCGGATGGGCGCCTCCCTCAGCGGCGGCGGCGGCGAGTCACAACCGGCCCGGCGCTCGCAGGCGCCTCCACGCCGCCCTGCAGGCCCAAGCAGCACCCGCAGTAGTCCCAGCTAACCTGGCGGCGCCGTGCAGGGCCCAGCCAGATCTGCTCACCCCCGGCAAACATGGCCACCTCGCCACCCAGCCGCCTGCAGCCGCCCCCGCCGCATCGACAGCAGCCAGCCCGCCGGCACCGCATGTGCGCCAGGCGGCGGCGCCAGCCCAGGACCTGGGGCAGATGCTGGCGCGCCTGGCCACCGCCTTTGACGGCGTGCAGAGCAACCTGTCCCAGGCAGGGGCCACCAGCGCCGCCGCCGAGGACGCTATGGGCAGGGCCGCCGCCGCCTTCCGGCCCAGCACGCAAACGCAGCAGCTGCTGCCGCCGCCGGAGCTGAGCAAGCCGTAAGCTGGGCTGCCTCGGGCCGCCCTCGCCCTGGGCTTTTTTGTGAGATGCAAGCAGTTGTGCTGGCTGCTGTGGACCTGCCCGCTCGCCCCGCCGCTGCACCGTTGCTGCCTGCATTTCCTCACCTGCGCGGCTGTTGGCCCGCCGCATCGCAGGTGGAAGCAGATGAACCGAGACGAGCGGCGAGCATACCTGACCGCCGTGCGGGACCATTATGGGTGAGCGGTCGCTGCCGCATGCCATGCCCCTGAAGGCTGCTGCATGCTGCTGCACGCATGGCCAAGCAGCCCTGGGGCACCTCCGGCTTAGCAGCGCCGCACATGGCCGCTTTTGGCAGACCGCCATTCTGCTTGGCTGGCTGGCTGGCTGGCAGCACTGCGTGTGCCACCCAGACTGCCTTCTGCAACCAATCCAAGCCAACCCGGGGCCTTCGGCGCTCGCCACCCCCCCACAGCCACCCGCCCGCACCTGCGCCCACCGCTCCCACCCCGCGGTGCAGGGAGGGCATCTTGTACGAGCGCTCGCTGCGGCGCAGCGGGCGCAGCGTGCTGGCGCTGTTCGACCCCCGCATGCAGCAGCAGGCCGAGGGCCACGTGTGGACGGCGGCGATGCCGGGCGCGGGCGTCCTGCACACGCGCACCGGCCCTCACGGCCGCCGCACGCAGCTGGCGGCGTGGACAGCGCAGCAGTGCCTGCTGGGGGGCGCGCGCCTGCCGGCGGCCTGCGGCAGCGTGGCGTTCCGGGACGGCTGTCCCGCCAACAACCTGGCTCGCAACCTGGAGCTCGTGCCCAAGCCTGGCGGCCTCCACAGCTTCCAGCTCTTCATGGCCGGCGTCGCCCGCAAGCAGGGCGAGGCGGGGCAGGCGCCGCTGCTGCTGCCAGCCTGCGTCAGCGATGAGGAGGGTGGCGACGCAGGCGCCTCGACGGCCGCCGTGCGTGCCGCGGAGGCCGCGGCGCGCCTGGCGCTGCAGCAGCTGTATGGTGTGGCGGGGGCGGAGCGCGGCCGTGCCTACCTCTCGGCACTGCATGAAGAATACCTGGCGGCTTGGCAGCAGGAGTTCCCATCGGTTTCGACAGCACAGTCTTGATCGCATTGCAATGCTGTACGTTTCCATCTTTCCGGCCAGCCAGGTGTACAGCAGTTTGTGTTGCCGTGCCATCAGCTGCAAGCTGCCGTGAGGAGGCCAGCGGTCACGGAACCGCAGAGCCCTGGGATTGCCAGCGGAGCAGGGTTCCAGTGGGGATTGGATAAATGCTTGAGCATTCACACCTAGCAAACCAGGGTCCTTACCATGCACCCCTGAGAGCAACGCACTGCATCGCCTCGCAACGCCTGCCTCGTCGCCCGCCCGCCTGGCGCCGCCGCTACCTATTTCCTCCCTCACCCCCGGCCCATTCATCGTGTTGCATTCCCGGGCGATATGGGGTTTGAGGAGGGGTTGATCGCTTCTGCCAGCGCCATCAACGAGCTCCGAGAGTCGCTGGAAGAGGAGGGCGTGTCTGAAATCAAGGTGGCTGGACCCGTGGCCAGCTTCACTGTGACCACAGAGGACGGCACCGCCTACCCTTTCACTGCCACGTTCAAGGAGCATGGGGCCGCATCCCTGGCGTGCCCCAGCCGGGCGCCGCGCGGCCTGGCCAAGGCAAACGGCAAGCTGGCGGCCAAGAGCAGCCTGGCCAAGGCGGTGGCAGCCGCCGGGCGCTGCGTAGCGGTGGACCTGGAGTGGGTGTTTGAGGCGGAGGGCGACGGTGCGTGCCGCCACTCTGCCCGCCCCGACTTGCAAGCGCCCTTCCCTCGCTGCAACCGTGCTTCCAGCTGCGTGCGTCCACATCCTGATATGGTCACCAGTTGTACATGGCAAAGGCATTGCATCATTGCACGTGCCCGCCATGCGCAAGTGGCGGCGATGCCAGCACCCTACAGGAAGCCAATGCCACCCCCCTGCCGTCGCCTGCAGGCGGAGGCAGCGATGAGGAGATGGCGGATGCCTCGGATGGCGGCAGCGGCGACGAGGAGGACAGGGAGGCGGATGAGATGCTGCGGGAGTGGTCAAAGCGGCTGGTCAAGTGAGCTGGGTGCTTGCAGGGCTGGCGCGGCTGGCAGGACAGTGCGGCAGCGGTGCTTGGGCGCGCTGCTTGAGCGACAGCCGCCGTTAGGAACCTTGAGCGGTACCGCCACACCGGGGTTTGCCCAGGGTGCGCGACAGCAGCGCCTGGGGCGTGCGTGGTGCTGGGTGGTGCATGCCCATGCTTTGACTGCCTGCCTTTACACCGGCTGGCCGTCCCGGCTGCCCCCTGCTGGCAGGGTGGAGCGCGTGGAGCGGGAGATAGAGGAGAAGGAGGAGTTTACCGACATTTCGGGGGACCTGGATGCACTGCAGCAGCGGCAGGTGGGTGCTGGGGGGCGGGCCGATGCGTGGCTGGGCGCTTGGCTGGCGGGGAGGTGGCTGGCGCGATGCACGGCACGGCACCGCCGCAGCCGCAGGCAGCCCGTGCCCCGCGCGGACACCCGCCTGGCGAGCCCCCCCGCACGCCTCTGATACCCCGCGGCGCGCATCGCTCGCTCACGGCGCCTCCCGTTCCCCCACCCGGCCTCCCCTCCTGCCCTGCCTGCCCCCAGATCTTTGACTCTCGCTCCGCCTTCCGACGCCTGGCCAACGAGCTGGAGGAGATCTTCAAGGCGCAGGATTTCAACATGGTGGGGCGGCTGTGTGGCAGCTGCTGGCTGGGGCGTGGAGGAGGGAGCGGCGCGTGGGGCCGTCCATGCCTGCTGCTGCGGGGCTGGGCTGCTGCGGGGCCTTGATGGGCGACGGCTGCTGCCGCTGACCCCTTGTCCCCACCTGGACACACCCTGCTTGCAGGTGGCAGAGGCGTTTGACGCGCCTGAGGGCCTCTACCGCTGGCATGTCACCCTGGGGGGCTTCGACCCGGCCTCGCCCCTGGCTCAGGTGCGGGCGTGGGAGCGGGCGGCTGCCTGAGAGCGCCCAGCCCAGCGGCTGGACTCAGGGCTGGGCTCACAGCTGCCACTCGGATCGAGGCGGTGCCTGTGTGTCGACCCACCCCGCAGTCTCCCAGTCCCGATCAGTCTCCCCAGCCGCCCTCACCTCCCCGCCCTTGCCTCCCTCCTCGCCCCGACCCGCTCCGCCGCCTGCAGGACATGCAGCAGGCGGGGCGGCGCTTTGGCAGCAGCAGCGTGCAGATGCACATCGTGTTCAAGCGCCCGCTCCACCCTTTCTACCCGCCCTCGGTGCAGCTGGTCAGCCCGCGCTTCCAGGGGCCCATCCTGGGGTGAGCGCCGGGCTGGTTGGGGGTGGTGGTGCACACAGCCAGTGGGTGCCTGTGAGCGCGTGGGCTGGGGCTGTGGCGCATAGTGCATGCAGGATGCAGCCGGCAGGCAGGCTAGCAGTGCCGCCTGCGAGTGCCGCCGATCTGCTGGCTCTTATTTCAACCCGCCTCTCATCATGACAGTCTGCCAAGCGAGACCCACAACAGCGCACCGCCTGTGCCCCCGGCCTGCTCCTGCGCAGCGCCGTCGCCTCCCACCCGCTATTTGCCATCAAGGGGTGGGACCCCACGCTGAGCGCCCGCGACGCCCTGCTCCTGCTCAAGCAGTTCCTGGAGGTGGGTCCCTTCATGCGGGTGGCAGCAGCCTGCTGTCCGCGCATGCGTGTGCGTGTGTTTGTCAGCGCAAGGGTCCAGGGCGGCCCTGCGGTTGTAGCGCAGCGCAGCGCAGCACGCCCCCGCGCCGCGCTCGAGTGCCACACACCGCCCCGCCTGCCTGCCCGCCTGCCTGCCTGCCTGCCTGCCTGGTTGCAGGAGCATGCGCGCGTGGATTTTGCCTCGGCTCGCAACGCGGGGCCCTATGCCTACCTGCCTGTGGAGGTGGGCGGGCTGCCGCTGGGCGGGCTGCCGCTGCCTGGCATGCGTGTGTGGGCCCGTGCCTGTGATGCCCCTTCCTTTGTCATGAGTTGGCAGCCGCCCTCTACGGCAACGAAGCGGTATCCTGGAACCCATGCATGGGCTTTGCGTTTGGCGAAGTGGCAGGCGCCACGCGCAGCTCCCAGCGCTGTGTTGAGGTGCTGCGCGGCTGCTGCTGCAGGGGCTGCTGGCCAAGCTGGAGGCGCTGACGGGGACGGCGGCGGCGGCGCAGAGCCTGAGCCAGTACCAGGAGATGTACAGGTGCGGTACCAGCCGTGCATGTGTACTGCATGCATCCATTGCAGTACAGTATCCATGCATTGTACTGCTTCCATGTGCAACACTCCACCCAACGGGCAGGACTAGGTGGCACCCTGTAGTGCGTCCCTGCTGCACCGCTCACCCTCGCCCCCATGCCTGCAGGATGCGCGAGGCGCAGGCAGTGCGGCAGCTGGCCGGCACCGACGCCCAGCAGGCTCCTCAGGCCCAGCAGCAGCAGCAGACAGAGCAGCAGCAGCAGCAGACCCAGCAGCAGCAGCAGCAGCAGCAGCAGCAGCCGGCCAAGAAGCAAAAGTCGGGCGTGGGGGCGGTGGCGTGGAAGGCAGGCACCGGCTTTGGCCACAGGTGTGCGGCCTGCCGCCTCTCGAGCGCCGTGACCACAGCTGGCCCACGGCAGCCCTTTGCCTGCTGCGTTGGAGGGGTTGAGCGCCGCCCAAGGGGGTCCTCCCAACAGCGCCGCTTGGGGCACATGGCGCCGCGTCCCCAGCCGGCCGACCGGCCGCCCTCAGCTGCCCACCTCTCTGTGCAGGGGAGAGGTCAACGCGCAAGTGTGGGATGCCCGGCGCTCGGAGGCGGTCCAGGCAAGCGCCCGGCGGCGCCCCTTCTCCCCAGGACTTGGCACTGCCTGTGCTGCCAGCGCTGAGCTTCTATCATCAGCGCTGAGCTTGCCTCGTATGCCCCTTGTGCCCGCCCGTCTACAATATACCACCACGCCCGCAATGCTCAATCCCCTAGCTGCCTGCCTCCCACGCTGCCTGCCGGCTTACACCCTTAAACCCTCCATCCACCCAACTCCCTGCCTGCCTCCCCGCAGGCGGCCCGCGACCGGGAGCTGGCCGACGTGCTGCAGCAGCTGGCTCAGGAGCTGAGCGCCAACCTGTTGCCCAGCGGTGCGCGCGCCCCGCAGGCCCCGCCCCGCCCCTGCAGACCCCGCCCCTCCGCTCAGCTGCCGTGCTCCCCTCCCTGTGCCGCCCTTCCCCTCAGCACCCCGCCCTACACCAACCCCCTGCCTCCTTGGCCCTCCCTCCCTCCCTCCCTCCCATGCGCTCCTCACCTCTGCCACTTCCTCGCGCCCCTCACCTCTGCCCCGTCCCTCGTGCCCTCGCCTCT